CTTTAGATTCAAGTTAATTATATGCTGATAGAATCCATTTATTTGGAAAAATTATTGCAACTTGAATACGATTCTCTTTCCAAATTATTATTCTTATTAATCTCCATATTTCTATAGATGACCCAAAGATCTTTCATAATTATTCAACCATTAAAGTTAAATTGAGATTAAGATTCCATAGTTAATTGAATCCAATTTCCATGCAAATCATAGTTTATTTTATTTTTACTTTTATTTTTTAATTTTACCATGTTTTGATTTTTTGACGAAAAAAATTTAAACCAAAAATTAAACTAAAAAATTAAAATACAAATAAAATTTAGGGTTTAATTTTTGGGCCCAAAATTTGCTTTTCCAATTGAGGCTTAATTGTAAAATCAAAATCAAAATTCAAAACCCAATAAATTTTGAAAAATCCCATGACAAAATGGGGTGTCTATAAACATATTAAATAGATGTTTTAGTCATTATAAATTTTACACATCATTTCACTTTGGTGATAAAAGTTTTTCACACTTTTGGATTAGAATTAGATTACCTTTCAAAGCAATAATTTAATCACTCTCGACGATCTAAAATCACTATCGTATAAGATCATCAAGTACTTATCAAACATGATAATTTAAGCATCACTTACAAATCACTATAGTTTTTGAGTTGATCATCTTGTACCAAACATTATTTTAATTTCTCTATTTCCTTTTATTTTTCATCATTCATAACCAACATAATTAATGAAAATAATTTTCCTTCCTTTTCTTTTCTTTTCTCATTTTTTCCTTTTATTTATTTTCATTCTTCCTATCAACCATTGTGTTGTGTAGAGTTCCTATCTAAGTAAGAGCCACATAAATTTTGGTTGCATTAATCTAATAACTAGCTTTTTTAACCTATACAAAGCACATGATTTTATATTAAATTTTTCATAATTTTAAATTATATTTTATTAACTTTAAGTTTTTATATTATCTTAATAAAACAATACAATCTTCAAATAGTTAAGATTAATAATTGTTTTTATAATAATGTTGTTATGGATATATATATATATATATATTGATTGAACAACAAATCACAATTATTAATTTAGCCATAACCATTTGCTTTTTATTAGTTCTTGTTTTTGACATACTTCAAGTAATTATTACACAAATATATTGGCCTAACAATTATTTCTATGGCAGCAAAATACAATTATTTTTTTCAATAAAAGGGAAACAATGATTCTTTATATTATGCTTAAAAACATATCTTTTTTTTTCTTAAAATATTATTTATTTTTAATTGTTTTTAACATAATTGATAGAGTATTTTTTGGTGGGTCAGTTATGGTAGTGATCATCATTTTTCTCATACCATCCGTTGTAGACAAAAAGATCAATAATAAAAAAGTGTTGCAAAAGGAAATGGAGAATATAAGTTAACATATTAATTTGTCGAGATTAAGAATATATAATAATAAAAGCATATATGTTAATGAATTAATAGAAAAAAAAACATTAAAGAAATGAATAAAACAAAACAAAATATAATACGAAAAGTTAATTATAATCAATCTAAACAAAATTAAAAAATGTAATGGATTGAAGAGAAATAAATAAATTAACCAAATATATAATATAAAAATATTTGAATTAGAACATAACTAAAACACTATATTTGTTCCCAAAAGTAAAAACATAATTTTATCTAACTTCTTTAGCAGTATTCAAATGTCTTATCTTTTCATATAAAGATGCAAGCTTTTATTACTTTAGTAATACATACTTTCTAGTCAATAATTCATTAACTTAGAGTCAACCACTATATAAGTTCTAAATTAAGTCCTAATACCTAGCCAATTCAAATTCTAGTTTATTTTCTTTTACTTAATTATTAATTTCAAAATAAACCATATTTTGAAGAGTAATAAGGGTAGAAAATGGACTTATTTTTCATGAGTATATCGTGACTTTCACTTCTTTCTACTTTTGTCAATTCCTATAAAAACCAATAAAAAATAATTGTCAAATAAAAAATTTTATCTTCAATTTCTAATTCTAATAATAACAAATAAAACATTCTTGGCTTGAATGGAATGGTCTCCTTTATACTCTTTATTTTTGTTCTCAAATTTTAATTTTAGTATATAATAATTTATTAAGCATGTGTGTGTGTATATATATATATATATATATATTTGTAATCAAGAATAAATTGAAAATATGATAAATTAAGATTTAATATATTTGAATTTAAAATTTATGCTAAATTTCTAATTTTTGATAAATTTTGATTTGAATTTAAATAATTATCTAAAAATATTAAATTTAAATAATTTATTAAATAGAATTATTTGGCAGAAAATAAAATTTTATTAAGTATATATATTTGAAACTATGATTAAATTTAAAAAAAAAAAGATAAATTATCATTTATGCAAAATTTTCAATTTCAAATAGATTTTGATTTGAATTTAAATAATTTATAAAAAAATTGATAAATAAAATAGTATAAGCATTATTGTATGTGTCATTAAAAGAAACTATCCACCTATGCATGCATATAAATAATTTTTATCATGTAACTTTGTATGCTGTAATATAATATATATATATATATATATTAGATTTAAAATTTAAATATATATATATGTATATTATTGAAAAATTCATTTAATAGAGATATATCTAAATTATATTTTATTATCAACATTTTAATATTTACAGCTCTTTTTAAAGCCTTTAACTCATGACACCTATTTGAACATGTCTTTAATATTATCATAAAGTTGTCAGTTTAATGATATGTCTAATTAATGGTACTTAAAATAAATTGAAACAAATAATTAATCTAAATAATTAAAGTACAACATACTTACATAGTTTAAATGCTAAATAAAGAATATATACTTGTTTTATAAAATATATATATCGTTAATCTTAAAAGATATTTTTATTTTTTTCATTGGAATGATCATAATAACTTTATCTCATTTAAATGACGATAAAGATAATAAATTATTTAACAAAGAAAATATTTGAATAAATCTGATTTTTTAGGATTTGAAGTATTTTTAAAATTTAAATAATAAAACTATTTAGTATATAATTACAATTAAACAATTATTTTTATGTGTTAATAATATAAATTATTCATATAAAATTATATATAAATAACTTTACCAGATAATCATGTATGATATAATTTAATATTATATATGATTAGATTAGGTGGACTACCCATTTATCTTCTGGCAGGTCCCGTCGGTTTAGATTGGGCTCCATACGTGGCTAATCCCATTTCCACCTTCCATTGCCATGTTAGGAAATATTTTGTTAGGTGGAGGATTTCCTCTTCTACCTGCATTTCTCTCCCACTTATTTCTTATATAAAAAGAAAAAAATTTATTCTAAATTTTTTTTTTTTCGGTTTCAAGAATTTCAAAGAAAAGGATTCAAATACCTATTACGTTATTTTAAAGGGACAAACAATAGTTAAAATTTTGAAATTCCATATTAAAGCTTTCAAGTTCAAATTTGATACGGCTGGAATGACATTTTATAAGATGAAAAAAGATTCTTAATGGCTTTTTGATTAAAAAAATTTGAGAAGTTCCCACTGGATAAAGAAACCAGCCAGCAAGTTGCTGAAACAGTGATTTTAGAGCAATTGTTGTTCCCAACGCATTTTTTGCATAACGTAATGTTCGGCCAAACCAAAACTTAGAATCATTAAAGATAAAGATGTCAATTTTATTCATATTTAATAAAATATTTTAATTTTTTATTTAAATAAAAATTTAAATATATATTATATTATAAATATAAAAATAAAATATAAATATAATCTTAAATTTTTATTTGATATGAGGGTAAGACAAATAATACAATATCCGTCTCATATTTATATCATATATATATATTTATATATATTTAGTAAATAAATTTTTTATTAAATAATATAAATTATTATTTTAGATTAATTAAAATTAATATATTTTTATTAAAAAATATATATTAATATATATTTATAAAAAATTATTTAAATATACAAAATAAAAATAAATTATTTTTTTAAAAAAAATTAAGAGTATAAAAATTATCTATACTATTAAATACTTATAAAAATAGAGATATGAATAAATTTAAAATATTTATTAGATATAAATATAAAAATAAATATAATATAAAAATTTAAGGATAAAATGAGTAATGCTTACTCTATTCGTATCATTCCCGTTGACATCTTTAACGCTTGTTGTCTTTACCGAAAGAATAAGATTACTTTGCCCATTTGTATTAAATTCTTTCGCAATTATTATCAAACTTAGATTAAACAAATCAATTAATAATTGAAGTAAATCATCATTATCATTAAACAATTTGTAGCATCACATGGATAATTCTTAAACCTCACATTTCATACCAAAAGTTGCACGTTGACATGAATAACTTCCGATTGTTAAACACCTTCATGTCCGTTTTTTTTTTTTTTTTTTTCTTTGTGTGCCTGCTTATATTCCATTTTTTTAGTAAACAAGTCTTCGTTTACTGTTACATCAATGGAAAAAAGAATTTAGCCGTAAGTTTCAAAATTCGTAAGCCACATATGTTCAAATAAATGAACGATTAATAGTATAACATATAATTGATCAATTAATTGGGGATACACAATATAAATAATTTAATCTCTTTTGTCTTTCCATTTAGCCTTTGTTTTTTTTTTTATTTATTTTTCAAAATTTTAAAATAGATAAATTACTTTAAACTCAAGTTAAGTTGTGTAGATATTAGGAAATACTTCCTAGAAACCACCAAAATATGGAAAATTTGGAAATACAAAATTGCTTAAGTTGAGGCAAACAGATACCTTACCAATTGAATCAACTTGTGTTGATATAAAAATTAATTTCACAACCTAGAAAAATAAACTTGAAAAAATTATGAGTGAAGGTCTATTATGGTGATTTCTTTCAACATAAATGCCGGTGTGATTATGTTCACTGAACCAATAAAACAAATCAAAAGAATCCAAGAGCATTGAATATATTTTGCAGAGAGCAGCTATTAATGTCGTTTTTTTTCCTTCTACGCGTGGTGATAGGCATGGCAAACATCTTATCTTGTAATTAGCTTTGGTTACAGAAGGCAGGTAAAACATAGTAATTAAGCATTTATCTTAAGCTTCTAAAAGAAGAAAAAAGAATAATATTGACCCTATGAATCCAAAGGACTACAATATCTATAGAACCCATTTGCATTTTGACAATTCCTACAAATTTCGCTTCTTTGAAACCCTAATTGCCAACACAAACAGACTGCCTTAGCCACCATAGCTTGTCCAAGAAACTAGTAATTGCTGTTATCTGGATGTGGTTTGAACTCGGCATAGTTGGCACTGGAAAGCTGAGTTGAGTTCTTTCCACCTGAACTAATCCCAATTGATAGTTCCAAATTTAACTCTTGTCCACTGCTTGGATACTTCTCCTGTTGCTGTTGCTGTTCTTCCTCTGTAGTCAAGCCACTGCTGGCACAGTTGCCTTCTTCAAGGGACTCTGTTCTTCCTTTAACTTGAAATTCATTGTATTTGAAATCCAGAGATGGGGTTGTAATAAAGTTGGCTTTTGAAAATCTGGGCACGTTTCTTAAATCCAATTCAGTGGGGGCTATGGCTGTGACTGTGGCTTTAGCTGTGCTATTTGTATTGGCAGTTTCAGTCAGTGGACGATGAGTTTGTGGATCAATTCTTCCATTTATAAGCTTTCTTTTGATGTGCGTGTTCCAGTAGTTCTTGATCTCGTTATCTGTTCTTCCTGGTAATCTTCCAGCAATTAAAGACCATCTGCCGATAGATTAAAGAAAAGGAAATCTATCAGATACGATGAAATGAAAAAGTTGCAACAGTTTCTTTCCCTGATTAACATTAAAAAAAAACAAAAACCCACTTGTTTCCCAGTAAACTGTGAAGTTTGATGATAAGTTCATCCTCCTCTTCAGTGAAATTTCCTCTCTTAAGGTCAGGCCTCAAGTAGTTTATCCATCTTAATCGGCAACTCTTGCCGCATCTAAGCAGCCCTTTATACATATAATTCAAGAAACCAAATTACTAAATAAAATGAAGGAAAATGAAAAAGAATGAGAAAGGATTGAATTATAGTTATAGATCTTAAATTAAAAAGTGAAATATGGTACGGATGTTACCCGCAGCTTTGGGGAGGGAACGCCAGCAACCTTCACCATGGACACGGATGTAGTCAATGAGGCGCTGGTCTTCCTCTTTGGTCCAGGCACCTTTATTGGTATGTGCTTTTTCACAACAGGGTGATCGTCCCATGAAATTTGAATTCAATTTCTTGTAGAATCAATCGGGGTAGTTGATGCCAGCCAGATGTGTTTGGATTAATAGATGCAGAAGAAATTGAAAAGGGTTGGGATAAGCGATTCAGAAACTAGTTGTACTAAGGAAATGGATAAGTAGGTGTTTTTATCTGTGGATGGGTGTTTTTGATGTTTTCCTGTTTGAAAACTGATGGGTAGAAGTAATAATTATTTTTGTTGAAAGGAGTGGAAGGGAGCATTTATACGGGGGAGAGAAAGGAGGGATGACCCAATAGACTCGATGTTTATGAGGAGAGGAGGGAAGTGGGGGGGATGGGGATGGGATTTGACCAAGTTGGTAAGAAAGACAGACAAGTTGTTAAGAGATAGGGCTGGATTCGGTAGGTAGCTCTACTTTTACGTCAGATTCATATTTTTTAGGCTTTTTTTATTTTCTTTTATTTCCAATTCCAAAGTGTTTTCTACACGCCAATGCTCTCTCATTATCCCCATCATCCTAGCAGAGAAAAGTTGGGCTCATGCTTTCTCATCCCATCTCAACTCTTTTTGTTGGCTAATTTTTACCTGCAATCTTTTGTTGGCTTAACTCTTACCGAAAGATTGGATTCGGGGCCGAACGAACCTACATTAATTTTCTTTTTTAACATCATCGTGAGTGTCTTTATGTTTTATTCAGGCATAATATTTTTTTGGGCTATCTTAATATAACATTTTTAATATTAATTTATTAATTCAAGATTTTATTTTAAAAATATTTTTTATGAGTATTTTCTTTTGATTTAAAAAGTTTTTTTAGTTATCCAAATTGTAGATATAAAAAAATTATATTAAATTTATAAATCACTCACTGCAAAAAACTGCTAATAATAAAATTTGATTTTAAACTCTACAAGTAAAATATTTTAAATTTTATTAATTCATTTAACTCCTATTGATAACAAAAAATAATAATAACAATAATAAATAAATTATGTATTTTTCTCGTAACTTATTTTAATTTGGCTATTGTACTAATTTTTTTATTGTTTTAGTATTTACAAATGATAAGAATAAAGTCCCTTATTTTAATAACAAAAAAGAGGTTTTGATGGTTGTTGATTCAAGTTGTTTAGGTTTTTTTTTTTATATTCTTTAGATATTATTAAAAATTATTTGATTGTAATTTTAATATATATTGTTAAATGTAATTTCAACATAAAAAAATATGAGAGCAAAACAAATACACTCTGAGTTTTTTTTTTTTCTATTTTTTTCTTTTTAGATGTCCCAAAATTAATTTTTTTAAATATCTAAAACTCTTAATTTTTAAATTTTAAAATTATATTGTATAATTTTTTTGCTTTTTGACATTAAAAATCATAAAATTTTAATTTTATAAAAAATTTAATTTTAATATTTAATGCATTAAAATAAATTTTTTTAATTTCGCGAAAATTAATAATATCAAAATAATTTGGAATGAAAAGAGCAATACTTTAATAGATATTAGTTTTTGTAAAGAATGCTATTAAAGGTACGTGACAAAATTATTTTCTCGAGTAAAACTAGGAATTACAAGTTGGATAGTGCAATAAAGCATAAGATAAAAGGGATACGGAAAGGGAAAATATTAACATTGAATTCAACTCAAATTTCAAACATGAGGCAGTCATCACAACATTCAATAATTTGGAACCGATTTTCATTTCTGCGTATATAATTATTGAATTTTATATACAAATCCCAATTTTGACTGTCAGATCCATACTTTTAACATGATCGATTCGATTATAAAACAAAAGATTAAAATAACTCAAACTATCTCAATTCTAAATTTTAAGTAGACAAACTCAAAAATAATATTAAAAAATAAAAACTTTAAACATAACAAATTAACTAAAGAACTGATTCAATTTGGTTCGTCTCAATTTGAGATTTCAGCTGTTTAATTTTATAATATAATTCTTGCACCCACAAACTCAAAAGCCTTTCTACTTTGTAGTTTGAACCAAAAGTACTCTCACATACACCCTCAGGGAATTTTTTAAAGTATTTGAGATTATACAAAAGTCTAACACTTTATTCAACAAATCAAACTAATATTTTTTTTTCTTCCTTCTTGATATCAGTATTACAATATTCTAAATCCTACCATCCTCTAAACTGAACTCTTCTCCTTTTCTTTAACTCTCACTAGACTCACTTACCAATACCACTAAGAATCATCATCAAGTAAAGTTATATGATAAATAGCTATTCAACTAAAAGAATTTCGTTGGAATGATAGAATAACAACAATAACAAAAAAAAAAAGGAAAAAAAAAAAAGAACGAGTTGATCAAGTTGGGCAACTGGGTGCTAATGGGAGTTCCAACAGCCCCGTTTGTATTTGACCATCTCTTGATTGTGCAAAGCTACAACTTTGCTTAGAATAAATTGTGACTAAACAGCAATTTTCGGTGCACTGCAAAAAGCCCAATAGAAGAAACTGGGTAGCAATCGGCCGCCTCTTTATTACAGCCTAACACTATTTTTCGTTTTGGTTGTTTAACTTACCGGTGAAATTTTTGAAACTGTCGGGCGGAAAAATTGAAACAAGACAACATAGGCCCTAAAAAAACAAAAAAAATCTAAAGAAGTATAAAGGCCCAAAATGGCCAACAAAACCCATCTTCGAAAGAAACGGAAAAAAATTAATAAATAATTTTTAACACTCCTTGTGAATTTAAAATATTGATGTATAATCTCTGGCTTAGTGATAATAAAGAGGTCTTAAAATCTTAAAGTTTTAAATTCTAATCATATTGTGTGTTGATTTGATTTAATTTAATGTTAGACTAATTTAGTTATATTTTAATTTGTTGATTTGTTAGTTAGTTTGTTTATTGAGTGATTTTCTATATATCAATATAATATTTGATTATGATTATAATCTTTCTTATACTTGTAATTTTTTTTTTAAAAAAAAAGTGTCTATAGACAGTCGGATTAGCTCAATTGACAATTAAAACTTTTGGTTTAAGAAATATACAAAATATTTAAGCAAATTTAAGTTGAAATACAAGCTTAAAATTTTTGTCCTTTCAAAATAATAATCAATTTAAGATGAACAATTTTCCTTTTTTTTTTTTATATAACAAAATTTTAAAACAAAATTTGCTTGACAAAAAGCATTCCTTAAATTTGTTCAAAAATTAAGTCATAAATTTTAAAAACTATTTTTAAAAGTTCCCTTTTAAACCAATCTAAAATCCATTCCATCAAAATATTTATTAATACCTGCAAAGTAGGAAGTACATATATCAAATTCAAGCAAATTTTATAACTCTAAGACCTCTCTCCCTTTTTGTCATAACTAAATGAAAAAGAGCAAGTAACTTAAGCTACAAACAGTTTTTACATGAAAGACACAAGTTATCTCAAGTCTAGAGACATATTTTTGCTAGATAAACACATCTCATTAGCATAAGCAGCTTTGTCCAACAACTTTCAGTGTACAAATATATTTCAAGTAATATCTCATAAGAAAATTCAATCCTAAGTAATATTTAACAAGAACCATAGGTTCATACATGATTTAATAAGACAGGAGCATACATAAGTAATAAGGTTCAAACCAGCATTTTATATCAATATATTATAAAATTCAAATTATTCCAATATATAACAATATGCTAAATCCAAAGAGACACAGGTATTTAAATTGGTACATGCTATTTTTTAAGAAGTGATTTAACATGAGTAAATTAAAGAATATGTATAAAAATTTAAGGTATACATAAAATCTGCAAGTATACAAACCGAACAAATAGTAAAAGTGACTTTTCAGTCAGAATGTCGATCTTACGGAGATTAGGTAGAAATTTCTAAGTTAAATACCTATTATTCCTATACCCTTCTAAAGTTGGATCAATCAAACAAAGAAAAATATGGCATTAAACTAACTAAAAAAAATAAAATCAACCAAAGCATGTAACACAAATATAGTACAATGTAAAATTGCAAAATGTAAACTAACTAAAATAACTGCAAAACAATAGGTAAATTGAAATGCAATGAACTAAACATGAGTTAAAGTAAAAACATATTTGAAATGCAAGCAATAAAAAAATTGCAAAATCTAAGCTAGAACATTGAAACTAAAAGTATAGCAAAATCAAAAACTAAATTTAAAATTACCATTCTAGCTCTAAATGATGCAAACTCAAGTTAATATGAACTAAAAATTTAAAGTTTGACTAAGGAACAAGATGAGAAAGTAAAAAGAAAATAAAAATTTTAGAAAAGTCACATGAAGGAAATAAACATTTAACAAAACAACAGCTGTGCTAAAACAAAATTTTAACAACTTATAAACTGAAAATGAAGATTTAAAAATTTCTAATGAATATGAGCTTAAACTAAATGAAAGCAAGATCAAACAACAAGTTAACTATAGATTTCAACAAAAAATTTGCAGCAAAATAAAGGAAAAATAGCTCAACCAGTTAGCAAACTAAATAGCACTAAAAAATGTTGAAAATAGAGCATGCACTACAAATGTAATCCAAACAACAATGAAATGTAAAGAAATAAACTAGATCAAGCAAGAATCAACAAGTAAATAAGTAAAACTAAGGATTTAGAGTGAAAAAAAAGGAAAAACTAGCCAAGGAGAGAGTAGTTCCATGCCAAACTTGATAGATCACATCTGACTTGCACCTATCACTTGTATCTAGACGAATCTTCTAAGCTTGATCTGGAACATTGTGGTGTGAGTTTGAATTGAATTTTTAATATGTTGTAGCTAATTGGATTAGGAAACTATAAAAAAATTGAGTAAAAACAAATAAGATTTGAATGAGATTTCATAAAAAAAAAAAAATCGCAGGTAGGTCAGAGCAGCAAATTAAAAAATAAATTTGAGTATCAACAAAAAATAGGTAGATTTGAGCTAGAAATAAATAAAATTTACAAGTTTCATTGCCAAAATAGTAAAGAACACTGAAAAATACTTAAGGAAATGTAAAAGTGCAATCAAAATCAATAGAAAAACATAAAGATCAAGGGTTGTTTTGTTGCTAAAAGAATAAAACATAGTAAAGGAAAGTACGTAAATTAAAGAATAAGAAAAATAAAACAATGTCTTTTTAAAATGGTTGGCTCCCCTCCTATTTATAGGAAGGTGAGTGGTGAATGAAGCTTCAAAACATCTCTCCAAAATATCTACAATGAGGTGAGCTTCTAGAGACTTCTTTCCTCTTGCTTCTGCACTAGGTGCATGGATGTTTGACTTTTTCTTCAACACTTTGTTCTTCCTCTATTGCAAGCCTTCCTTATGCATTTTCCACTTCCAAAAGT